GAAATGGGTTGAATATTTGATGAAAAAGATTATGTGCGAAATGATTATCATCTGATTGAGTCACATGAAAAGTGTTGAAAATCGGGTTAGGATAGTGTTGAATATTGTTGGACGGAAAAGTATCCTAAAGCTGAGAGCGAGCATTAGCCTGAGTCTGGGTGGTAGTTTAAACCCAGGTTAATCCAATTCGAGTCTTCCAGTTCTACGCTAGCCGTTGTGAGTAGTGTGAAATTTTATAATTTGTTATTCTCTTCATCAATAATTTACTGAATTAAATCAGTACTTCGGTACGATTAAGAAGGTATCATTTTCCAGAAAGGAAAGTAAAAAAGGGAAAAACAGTCAGCGTAATGCATTCAACATACTAAATTGTCAGTCGGATATAAGTGAAAATGTATCCTTCAAGGATTTCAATTTGGATGAACGACTTCTGAAGGTTGGTTATAATCTTGAGTAAGCTAATCTTTCGTCAATTGGAAATGCATTTTGAAATATTTCATTTTATGGAACAGCGATTTTACGAAATATCTGTCTGAAATCTGTAGCTGTGGTAATTATTGTTATTATTTGAAATCAATGCACTTCTTTGCCTTATTCATAAGGATGCTTTAATGGGAAGATTATTAGAATTCGAAAAGAGGCGACTGGAATTTTCAATTTTTTGAACAAATTATTTTGTTTTGCATTTTTGAAAATCGAACGAAATTCGCAAATTTATTGTGATGAAACTGATTGTGATTGTGTTGATTAATTTGCGTTCAGTTAAATTTCCAGTTGTGTGTTGTGTGATTCACAGTGATTATTAAGATGAAAATATGAAGATTTCTGAGAGGTCTGCAATGTGATTGTTGGCAAATGTTTGTTTAAAGCGAACGAAATAATATTAAGGCGATTGGAGAATTGGGATGGGAGAAGCCGACTCAAGTACAACAGAATATGATCGAATTAGCGTTGGAGGATAAGAATATATTGGCACGTGCTCGGACGGGGAGTGGAAAGACTGGTGCGTTCATGATACCGGTCGTGCAGAAGATACTGCACTTAATTGAGGTGCGTTGTCTTGCTTTGATTCACTCACAAATGAGTTTATACAGTTGATTTTTCGGTATATTGTGATGCGTAGAAAGCTGTCATATGAACATCCTCTTGACTTGACCCACTTCATCTAGGAGATTCTGAAGAACAAAGAGCGTCGAATAGAATTGCTGACAAGTGAAATAAGTGTTTATTTTGGATGTTTGCAGTTCGACATCTTTCATGATAAATTCGAATGATCAAATAACAAATAGATTTGAATTTAAGGCATCGTGCGATAGCTCTTTGACTGGGCCGTTTGCTCTTTTTATCGCACCAACCCGTGAGCTTGCCACTCAGGTAATCAGTCATTTAATTATTTATTATTTGATTATCGATCATTTCGATTTAAACGTATTTATGGTTTCAGTTGATTGCATTTAGAGTTGAAGAATGCATAAAGATTAAATCTCAAAATTCTGTTTGTTTTTATTTGTTAATGACAATTTTTATATTATTTATTAGAATTACTCTTCTCAGTTGGTTTGTATGAATTCATTATTGAATACTTGGAATTACGATGCATTAGTACATTCGTGACAAATGTTATCTC